TACAGCTTCAGAACGGACTTTCCTTGGCCTTCCTCTAATCAGAAATGTTCTATTAATGCCACAACCAATAAATAACAATATCTATCTGATCAGCTGTTCCGAGCTTCATTTAGACACTGATTTCTGTCATTGAGAAAGGTTTATCTCTTCCTCAGCTGATAGACTGAGCTCTCTCCCATGACAAGTGTATAGAGCCTACCATGGTGCTGATACTCTCTCTGCTACATACAATGCATGGCTTCTTAACAGATTTAAAGCAATCAGAGGTGTTCTATCACTGTCACATCCAGTGTAGGTTCAGCCAACAAACCAGATACACATTTCCATCAGATGCGAAATAGTTCCCTCCAGCTTCAACTTGTTTCTGAGATGGCAATCTAGGTTTGTATAAATAAATTCTTGAATTCTTTTAAAATTTTAGGGAGGAAAAGGTGCATGATATTTATTGTTTACTCACATCTTTGTTGATTCAAAATGTCAACGCTATGAAATAATCATGTCTCTTATTAGCCGAAACAAAGGCCAGGGGTTAAATGACAAATGAAGTCAGTAGTGTTGTAAATTTTATGAACAGATCACTCATAATTAATTAATTGTTCACGCAAAGAGAAATCATGTCTTGATCTACCAATAAAACCTGAAAATCACATAATTTACATAAATATATGTAAGTGTTTGTTTGAATCATGCCGGGTGGTGGGGTAGCCTAGTGGTTAAAGCAATCACTCGTCATGTCAAAGGCCCAGGTTCAATTCCCCACATGGGTACAATGTGTGAAGCACATTTCCGGTGTACCCTCCTGCTGTGGTGTTAATATTGAGAATATTTTTAACTCGCCTTTTCCAGGCTAGATATGTTGCTTGAATATTGCTAAAAGGGGCGTTAAACCACACACACACACACACACACACTCACACACTCACTCACTCACTCACTCACTCACTCACTCACTCACTCACTCACTCACTCACTCACTCACTCACTCACTCACTCACTCACTCACTCACTCACTCACCACCTCCACTCACTCACTCCACCTCCCACCCACCCACTCACTCACTCACTCACTCACTCATGCCATTGACTAAAAATATAACAAGTAATTCAAAGGCAAGTAAAGTTTTGGCATGTTAAAAAGATGATGGCACGATTATTCCTGCTTTGGATTGCTTGGCATATTAGTAATCCTCTCAATATGGCTGATGTAGCAGTAATTGATAAAATTCTGACATGGAAGGCATATTTGCATGACAAAGTATTAATTGGGTGATGTGAATTTGTATTTTCCTACAAAATTAGCTTACTTCAAGGACATTATGCAATTTGCAATTAACACATGTCACCTCACGTCTGCTTCTTCCATTTCTGAAGGGCTCAGCTTAAACATGCTGGTTATCAAACTTGACACAAACAAAGAAAGTCTGTTGTCCTTTGTTCCAAACCATTTTTTCCAGAACTTTGCCTAGTCATCAAACAATTTGACCAGGCATTCTCCTACAAATTTCATTCATGGAAAACTGTTGAAGTGTAAATTATCAGATTTTAATGAGACAGGTATGAAGGTTGCATTTCCTTGGGTTCAGGTCGGACACGTAAACTTCATTCTTCCCGCGATAAAAGGATGGTATTCGATCGCCGTGCTCGTTTTCATTTCCGACTTGACAGCCTATGCACAACTTAAGCAGGATGTAGCAAATACAATGCCACAAAATTCAACGAATTTAATCCATTTTGCCTGGGCCATACTGGATGCGATTAAATCCATTACGATGTATTGATCTGTGAGCCCAGGGACTCGGCAAACATGGTCGTGCAATGATCACGGGGTGACATGCAAATGCGCGATTTTATTCACTGGAGGAATTCACAGAAACATCATCCTGGTTTTATCTTTTGTCAAAATTCACAGATGCACCGAGCCTGGCAAATCAGATAAGACTCCATTAATTAGAACAATGACAAGCCTTGGTGTTTGTTGCAGTGAGAAGTGAAATTTGTCAACCTAAATCTGTCTTATAAAGTATGCTATGAATTTCATTATCACCACTGAGTGTTTAGTGTTGAAGCATGCCTTCATCAGCATTCTACAGATTACCGGGCGGGGGTATATGGCAACACTGGGCGGGGTATATTGCAACAACGGACTGCCTGAAATAAACTGTAATTGTAGCACCTGACGCAACATGAAACGGTGATGTTTTCAGGAGTCTATACTCCTATACTCCTATAGTCCAATTCATTCATTCCTATGTAACACTGAGTTGTATGGATCCTTGGAATGTTATGTAAACATATCAGTCATGATTTGAGCAGCCCTACATGCAGCCATTTCCTAAATGCTGTGATTGTTCCTCCCAAGAACAATGCAAGAAAGAGATTCTGTTTTATTCTATTCCCATCACTATCTCATCTGTTACTGAATCATCTCCTTTATATTATGACATTCTACATCAACAACATGCTTTCGTCACAAGTTGGATACTTCCATCTCAACAGGATATACATAGCAGTTCTTTTTAAAAAATCAGGAAGTTCAGACGTATAATACTCTTTCATTTATAGCAGTTGGATGTAAAAGATGCTGAAATTGTAAGGAAGTTGCATGACATTCTCCTTGTATCAATAACTGTTTCCATCGCAATGTCATTACAGACGTCTGCTGTAAACCAGTAGCACAAGGGAGGTAACTCCATCTTGTTTGTGAAATAACTCAACTGTAGTATCAGAACAGATACAAAAACTATTTAATTCTTAACTAATTAACCTTGATGCAATTCAGTGAAAAAATGAATTTACTGCTGGGATAATGATAAAGTAATTTTGATGTATGTGAGAAAGGATTGTGTTTTTGAGCGGATCTCATTTTGCAAGTAATGCGTAATCGGGAAAATGTTGTTGATCGATAGAGAATGATATTTCCCCGCAGCATCTCAGGTTTTTCATCATGGATCATAGATAAGATGCTTTCTGAGGAGATGCTGAGCAAATGACAAGTTTTGCTCCATGATGGCTGTGTGTAATACCTCATGTATGAAGGGATCAAGCCGCCTTTTTAACAGCACCTGATCAATAACAAGGTCGCTGCCACCTATCTCCTGTCGTAGCAGAAAGGGCTGTACAACCATCTTTTTCTTTAAGTCTGCAGCACGACAGTGCAGAGACGATTTCCCTGTCAAGGCATGTCATTTTGTATGTTTGTAGCAAGTCTTAAGGAAAGCAGAAGCATCGACTTTGCTGAGAATAACTTGAAAACCGTTCAAGCATTAAAGTATCTGATGAAATGTGAAGAGAAGTCTCTCCTTGTGTGCTTAGTGTAGAAATAATAGGATTTGCTGTATTTGACATTCTTCTAATTGGAAAACAGTACCGCGTATGTAGTATCCCTCGACTGATCGGAATACAATACCAGTAAATGGGTTTGATTCAAACTATTCGGTCCTGTGTCAAACTTTCACAGAAAACACAATCCGGCATTCTGGAATCTTGCAAGAAAACATGAGAGAACTAAATAACTATGTGCCCTTCCCCATGAACTAATTCACGTTTGTTGTTGAACAACACACTCAGCAATATCCAAGCCATGGGCTGTCTGCAAAAAGGAAGTCATGACCAGACGATCCAGTGATTGAAATCATGAGCATCAATCCATGCAGATGGGATGACAAGTGTTGACCAGAGGGCTAACCACTCAATCCTATGACTTGCCTCTTATAACGAACATGTTACCCGTGAAGGTCCGGGTTAGAATTGATCTTCAGTAACCCATGCTTGTCGTAAGAGGCGACTAAAGGGATCGGGTGGTCAGGCTCGCCGACTTGGTTGACACATGTCATCGTATCCCAATTGCGTAGAGATCGATGTTCATGCTGTTGATCCCTGGATTGACTGGTCCAGACTTGATTATTTACAGATCGCCACCATATAGCTGGAATATTGCTGAGTGTGGCATAAAACTAAACTCACTCACTCACTATAAAAGCATATATTGTGAGAGTTTTAATCTAAGTCTAGGATCTTCAAAACTGGATATATCTGAGTCTGTTATTAGCAGTACGTAGGTTTTGTGGAGTAAAATGATTGAAATTCAGAATCTATAAGATTTTATAACATTAACATAGAAGAGAGTATGCTTTAACAGATTAAAAAAAATAGCTTATTGTCATTCGATGCAGATATGGTTTGAGGGAAGACATGAAGGCTCTGAGAGAATGGAGGTTTAGACTTCCTATTATGATTTGTGTGGATCTTAGTTGGTGCCAGTGAGTCTGTTCCTCAAATCTGACATTACGTTCCCAATTCAAACATGGTATTTTATAGTTGCCAAGGGAGAACTTGTCACACAGAATATTGTGGCCGTGGTTCAGAGTTTCCCTGTAGACCCCAAGTGTTTTACTTTATCACCATTAAGGTTTGATGGCTGTCATCTTTCTAATGTTGTTGGGATTTATGTTTCTTTTGTTTGCACAAAGTCTTTTGTCTTGAATTGAATTCTCTTTGAATTTTTCCACATTCAGATATTAGCATGAGACATCATTGTAAAATTATAGAATTTCAATTCACAGGCATATGAGGAAGAAATACAATGGTTTTTAAAATCAGTAATACAATATGTTTTGTATTTAGGCTTTTAAGTTACAACAAATATGGATTGAAAATTTTGATTGCACGACATGTGCAGTATATACATTGAACAATCCTTGATAAGAGTTATATCCCAGAGGTCTATTCTGAGCAACTGTAAGTCCTTTGAATACATTTGCTCGACTACATCAACATTACTTCTGATGTAATGGAGGTAGTTTTCACACAATCATAACAATTGGGTTTTATTTAGACTGGCATGTTCATGAATTATTCATAAAAGTTTCAGACAATATTGATTATTATATATCCATTTTTGAGAACAATGTATTTTGCTGATGGCTGTCTACCATTTTTAGTTTTGCTCATTTTTAGTAATTCTAGTTCACAGTATTCAAAGTATGTGTTTTAATTTTCAGAGGAATGTCTGAATGCTTTGGGTATGCAGTCTGGTGCCATCCCTGATGACGCCATCACAGCTTCTTCATCATATGACAAAGCTCAAGTTGGGCCTGAGAATGCCAGGTAGGTGTCATGTTCTAACACTTTGGTTAAAAAAATGTGCAGCGTGGACTATCTTTGATCGATCAGCTGATTGTACTTGAGGGAGGAAGAACACCCATGATTACTGTGTCTTGATAGATATATATGTGTAAAGGGCTCTACTATACACACTGTACTCCTGGGCCCTTATTCTCGAAACGTTCGTAGCCCTAAGAATTCTTAACTTTGATCGTAGCCAATGTGTTAAGAATGGGCTTAAGAAGTTTGTAGGGCTTACGTAGTTTCGAGAATAGCTAGCCTGGGCCCTTATTCTCAAAACGTTCGTAGCCCTAAGAATTCTTAACTTTGATCCTAGCCAATGTGTTAAGAATGGGCTTAAGAAGTTCGTAGGGCTTACGTAGTTTCGAGAATAGCTAGCCTGGGCCCTTATTCTCGAAACGTTCGTAGCCCTAAGAATTCTTAACTTTGATCGTAGCCAATGTGTTAAGAATGGGCTTAAGAAGTTCGTAGGGCTTACGTAGTTTCGAGAATAGCTAGCCTGGGCCCTTATTCTCGAAACGTTCGTAGCCCTAAGAATTCTTAACTTTGATCGTAGCCAATGTGTTAAGAATGGGCTTAAGAAGTTCGTAGGGCTTACGTAGTTTCGAGAATAGCTAGCCTGGACACCAGGTGTCTGCCTAGACATTCACACATGGGCGACACTGTGGAGCACTATCTCTTCGTAAATATACTGAGGGAGACAAATAAGGGAACACCTCTTCATCTCAGTGTTCCTTTATTTATTCGCAGATTTTCATCCATAGTGCAATACACAGCTTGCAAAGAAACCTGGACAAAAATACAGGAAAATTTGTACTTTCCTTATTTGTTTCCCTCAGTATGTTACATAGTTTGACACCACCATGGAGGCCGACATTTTTTTTCTTATAACACCTGGGCCTAGATTTTCGAAGCTCTCGTAGTGCTAAGATGGTCATGAGTTAATGTTAATGTATGGCACTTACGACTGTTTTATCGCTAACAGAGCTTCGAAAATCTAGGCCCTGGGTGCCGTTGTACAAAACAACCTTATCGCTAAGACTACCTAAAGTCTATGTTAAGGTATGGGAGTTACGGTCACCTTTAAGGTCTACCTTAAGTAAGTCTATGTTAAGGTATGGGAGTTCACCTTAGCGGACTACCACCTTAGAGCTAAGATTGCTTTGTACAACGGCACCCTGGTGTCTTAATTGGTATTAGCCCATTAAGTACTACTTAATGAAGATGACACACCCTCCATATAGGTGTCATCAATGCCATTCAGGGGAGTGATCCGCCTATGAACACCTGGTGTCATCAAGGTTTCACTTGGGTGTAATCAATGTTCCACGCTATAGGATGCAATGACAGGGAGGTCACAGAGACGTTCTCACTTTAGGCAACGCTGAGGACAGACATGACGTACTTGGAACTCAGAATCACCACATTAAGAATCAGACAAAATAACGGTCAAATGATTGCTACTATGATGCACGTGGAGCATGGTGGTGTAGTGGTTAGTGTGATGGCCTCTCACGCCAAAGGCCCGGGTTCGAATCCCGGTGGAGACAGCAAAATTTGTGACCTGGGTCTCATACTGTGTTGTGTCCCTGGGCAAGGCACTTCATCCACATTGCACTCAGTCCACCCAGCTGTTCAAAATGGGTACCTGAGAAGCGGATGTACGGACCTATACGGTTGTGCAAAGCGCTTAGTAGCAGCTTCGAAAGTACAATTCCATCAGGGTAATAATGTAACGCCAGACAGCAGCACTGTGTTGGATTCTAGGCGTAAAAATTAGCATTATTATTATTATTATTATTATTATTATACCTGTCTGTTGAAGGGTGTTGGGGTACTCATTGGTTAAAGCATTCACTTGCCACAAGTAAGAGTTAGTGAGTGACGTTTTACGCCACTTTTAATAATATTCTAGCAATATCACAGCAGGGGACACCAGAAATGGGCTTTACGCATCGTACCCATGTGGGGAATCGAACCTGGGTCTTTGGCCTGACAAGTGAACGCTTTAACCACTAGGCTACCCCACCATCCCTGCCACACCAAAGACCCGGGTTTGATTCCCCACATGGGTTCAATGTGAGAAGCCCATTTCTGGTGTCACCCACTGTGATATTGCTGTGATATTACTGCAATATTGCTAAAAGTGGCATAAAACTATACTCACTCACCTGTCTCAAGTACCAGTAAGTTCCTGTAAAATTTCACAACAGGTATGACGGACAGCAGAATGTCAGGAGTATCCCTCTTTCAGTGTGGTGGAGCTCAAAATATGCGAATAAAGCAATTTTATCTAAGAAGCTGCCAAAATTCAAAGCATGTCTGCTAGGACTCCTGGGTGGTTCTCTGAGTAAACCACAGGATTACAATCTTTACACCACAAAGGTGAAGCAGATGAAGAAAGTCCTGAAAATCTCCCATTGAGATTGTTTTTGTCACTTTTGTAAATCTCCAATCAAGAACGATGGAAGAAGAGCCAGACTGGGAAAAAAAATGAAACAAAGTTATAGTGTATAGTGATCCTGCATTGTGGCATTGGCGAGAAGAGTCCTTTTGTGAAATAAGACAAGAAAGCAAAGAATTTCTCCACCTTTGAAGTGTAATATCTCCTGTTTTTGATCAGCGCTGTAAATCCTGGCAATAGAAAGTCTCTGTTTATCTCTGGGCTGGTGTGTCGTGCTTGTTTGATATTGGCAGGATTTACGTGTTTTATTTCTAGATGAAAATACATTGTTAATTCAGGATGATGGAATATGCCTCGCTAAGCTATCCATCTCACCAAATCAGCTCCACTGATTTAATTTTCACTTGTAATTCATTCAAGACTGGTGCAATAGCTATTCACACTATCAGTTTACAAGAGATCTGTAGAAATGATCCGGGTTCGGCAAGGATGCAAAGTCTGGGTGCTCTCTGATGCTGTGAGATGCTTTCAAATTGTCGGTTGTTTATCATAAGTCTATGTGACAGATAAAAAATTCTGTGCTTAAAATGAAGTGATGTGTGTTAGACTTGTGAAGGAAAGATCAAAGCTCCTTGTGTATCATATTTACTGACATGTTATGGTCCCAGAACATCCTCGATGGTTATGTTTGGGACATTTTAACGGCATCATTTCTCTGAGTAAGGAGGATCCAGAGCCAAACTATGCAGACATCATAAAATTAAAGCATGCACTCATGATATATTTACATACAACTCAACATTCCATAGGGATATTTTGAATGTTGAGGTGGAGAGTAAATGTCTAGTTGTTTGGAGATGTTGTCATGCAAATAGTATTAAATATTGCCAAGCAACCGAGGCATTTTGTAGCTTCATTTTCAAGTAGCAATAAATTTCAAACACAACTTTCCAACAGATGTTTTGAACTGGATGAAAAAGCTGGTTGACTCTTTCATTAGTCTTATAGTAAAGTTACAACAAAACATAAGCTACGTATTGTTCTTGCACACTCAGCTGTGTTTGTCATCAGAAGGTTGATTTAATGGCACCTAAGTCTGGGACAGCTCGCCTACAATTTACACAGTTTCAATGACAGTTGTTCTTTGGTAAACTGCCTCCCATTTCATGGTTCCTGAAACTTGACATTCTTTCCCATTCATGAAGGTAACTTTATTGTTCTGCACTGTTTGTGATACTGTGGATGTTTGGACTATGGAGAATGTAGCAATGCTTAGTCCTGTCAGTGAAGCTGATCGCCACACAACATCTCTATGAAGTTGGCAAGGAATAGTGTATATTTTGACATTTGGTACATTAATCAATAGATATATCCAAATTCATTTGGAACCAGGTTGCAGGTTTCATGTAGTAAGATTTGCAGGCAGCAAAACAAACATTTTATAATGCATAATGTTGACATTGTAAAATACAAAAGTTATAAGGCATTTTCTGAAGCGCTCTGTCTGTCTCTCTCTCTGTGTCTGTCTGTCTGTCTCTCTGTTTCTCTCTCTCTCTCTCTGTTTCTGTTTTTCTCTCTGTTTCTGTTTCTGTCCCTCTCTTTGTTTCTGTTTCTCTCTGTTTCTTTCTCTGTCTCTCTCTGTGTTTGTCTGTCTCTCTCTCTGTCTCTGTCTCTCTTTGTTTCTCTGTTTCTCTCTCTCTCTCTCTGTCTCTCTCTCTCTCTGCCTCTCTCTCTCTTCTGAGACAGCCATGAATGACCTTCTTGTGAGATGGCACTGACCTTGTGGTGGTATGTTATAAGGTCACATGCTAAGCCAATCAGATTGCAGCATTTATTCTGTGCATTTTTCTATCAATAAGATATATGTTTTGGATATGTTATTCATTGTGGCCAGCTGGTCTCCTTACTAATGTCAGCGATCCATTCATATAGTATTTAACACATTATTTTGCCTTTACACCCAATTAAGTCTTTTTTGGCCAGGGTGGTGAAGTAGCCTAGTGGTTCAAGTGTTCACTTGTCACACCGAAGGCCCAGGTTCGATTCCCCACATCGGTACAATGTGTGAAGCCTGTTTCTGGCATCCCCTGCCGTGATATTGCTCACTCACTGTTGAAGCCAATAATTGAGACTTTATATTCTCTGTAATTGCTTATGATGCCATCAGCACATGCCACAGTACCATGTTCTAGTACCGCTTGGATAACAGCTGGCATAACCATTGCAAGAATCTCACAACAGTTGTTACATAATAACCTTGCACTGATGCCTATCAGCCATCACACTTCCACTGGCCAGTAATATACCTTACCCATTCAATCAGAGGCACTCCATTCTGGCCTGCCTCCCATTCCTTCCACCAGCAGAAAATCAAACCCTAATCGGCTGCGTCATAAATCAGACGTTTTGTCAAGGGTCAGAAGAGAAATTCCTTGTGTTAATGAAGTACTCTCTAAGTTTGTTTATTTTGGGACAACAACCAATGGTGAAAAGGCTTGAGAATTAGGCATCCATCCTTAGTCAGAATGTCCGAAGACTGGAAATGTATGTTTAATTGGCATAGTATATTTGTCAGTGG